GGTTGGTTGGTTAGTTAGTTGGTTAGTTAGTTAGTTAGTTAGTTAGTTAGTTAGTTAGTTAGTTAGGTAGTTAGTTAGTTAGTTAGTTAGTTAGTTAGGTAGGTAGGTAGGTAGTTAGTAAGTAAAGTGATTTGAATTATCACTGTGTATGAAATGTGCTAAATAACCTTGCCTTCGTCACACCTGAACCAATTTTGAATTTCAAAACAAAGAATCACTGCTAGGAAAGGTATGAACTTTACGGAAATTAACCATGGTTTTACTACAAATAAAACCAAAAAACCAAGGTTACTATAGTTAAACTATGGTAACCACAAATTAACCATGGATTTGTTACACTAATCATAGTTTAACCGTGGTATCTGTAGTAAAACTGTGGTTATACACATGGTAATCAATACCCCAAAAAAGCATGCTTACTACTCTTTTACTACGGTAAAATCATGGTTAATTTCCATAAGGGGAATAGGACTGTCTGATAATGCAATAATCATGTAAAACAAGTGCATTGGTGATTGGCAGAGGAGAATAAAGTGAACGTGAAGATGATTGAGTGCTGAATGGTTCGAGTTTCATTAGATATTGTCTTGGTGCCTTTATATGATTTTAATATGTCTTGATCTGTAATCATAGCAGTTTCATATTTCCCAAGCGGGTTCAAATGGCAAACGTTCACTGAAATGTTGATATTAAATGTCGGGTCCATCAGATTAAAAAGCATCATTCTTTACGTCTATCATCACTCTTTTTTATGGCTGTTGAACAGCGAGCTGCAGTCAGAACTGTTGTTGTGCCGCTTCAGAAGAGCTGCACACGCTGTCCTCTCTCTGAATGAGTGTATGTGTGGAGGGGACAGAGACAGACGCTGGCGTTTAGTGAGTCAGAGGTGATGTGCTGCTTCACATGAGTCATCTGAACTCAATCGCTCACTGAACCACCAGCACAATCCAGGACAGCGTGCACTGGGTCATCAGACTCCTCCTCAGGGAGAATGCTGGACTGTAAATGCATCGCAACAGACGAAATCACAGACAGTAGCTGCTCACTTTAGCTCTCAGCAGACAATTAATGGCGGGTTTACACTCAGCAGGTTTGGTTTGATTAAACTGAACTCTGGTTCGCTTGCTCTGTTAGAGTAAGTCTGAACGCTGTCATAAAAGCTGTCCAATCCTTATGTGTTTTGTTTGCATCTTTAGATCCGGTGTTAAAAATGACAGTGTGTGAATGCTACGCGAACCGGCACTAAATGTATCAGTTTCAAGTGAGTGCTTTTTAATTCCAATCCAGCTCTTGAAATTGAACTGAATCTGAATTGAGGACTCAAACAGGATGCAGAACTGCAATTCAAATGCGAATGTAAGGATCTAACTGGAATTCAAAGAAATTCACAGAACTTTAACTGCAAAACTGATGTCAGCCCAGATACATTTTGAATGTTGGATTGACAAAGTCTTGTTTGGAAGTTTTGAAAATGTTTCGAAAACCTTCGCGTTTGAATGTTTATAGGCCTTACACACAGAAAGAGCAAGCGATTGAACAATTTAGCATTGAATTGTTGTATTGAAAGCATAACTAGCACTGCTCAATTTTGTCATTTACTAATCATCATGTCAGTGTGATAAAAGAAAAAAAAAAAACGTTTTGTTATTTATTAAAGTAGCTTTTATGAAATCACCCGAAGGTCAAAGATTGAATTGACTTTCTCTGGTACAGATTTAGATATTTAAATAAACTATTTTGCTCATTGTTTAAGATTTCCTGAACCCATTAACTTCTAAAGTGAAGGTCAGACCTCTCCGGTCATGTTCAACATTACAAATAAGAGGAATAAAACATTTTTGATGGGAAAATTAGTCCTTCGGCGCAATTCAGTTTCTCTTTACCATCTGAAAACACAGTAATTTGAATTCGACCTTTCACAGGAAACATCCATGATTGTGTCAAAAGTGATTTTTGGTGTTAAATCAGTAAATCGAGAAATGGCCTTTTTCTCTCAGTTTCTAAGCACCTGTCTCTGTCTGAACACATGCTGTCAGATATGAATCATAGCTGAGTCATTTCAGCTGCCACCTTCTCACAGATAAACATCTTTTAAATGAACAATCTGGTGATACAAGTACACAACAGCGTCTTATTTGTCTCCCTGGTGTAAACTCCCGAGCCGTGTTTCTGGTTTATGCTCTTAATAAATCCTACTGCAAGTGGATTCTCCGGCTTGTGTTTCCGTGACTCCATCGTTACAATGCTGAAGCACCATGTGATCTTATCTTGCTTTTACAAGTCTCATGTTTGACGGGACTCTTACCCAACTGCTTCACTTCACAGGTGCAATGCTGTACCGGGTGCGCTTCTGAGCAAGTTTATGTGGGAAAAGCCAAACATATAGAGCTGCTTATGTAATCTAAATGTATTAGTTTACAAGTCATGCACTATGCTAAGAGTGTTTTGAGCTAATAACATCGTGTTATGCAAGGATCCGCACAAAAATAATCATTTATTAATTGATAATCTGCCAATGTATGATCATGATTTGTGTGAAATGTGAAAAAAGTTGATGGCATTACACTGTAAAAAAAATAAGACTTTTGGAAGTTGTAATAAAAGGTGAATGGAATACATTTATACAATAAAATACGGTAACACTTTATTTTAGGGTCTCTTAACTAGTTGCTTATTAGCATGCATATTACCAGAATATTAGCCATTTATTAGAAGCAATTAAGCACATGCCTTATTCTACATTCCTAATCCTACCCAATACATAACTTAACAACTACTTTACTAACTATTAATAAGCAGCATATTAGGAACTTATTGAGGGAAAAGCCGTAGTTAATAGTGAATAAGTGATCCGTTCTAAAGTGTTACCGAAAATACTATTTCACTCTTTCTGCTTAAAAAAAAAATCATGTTTAATTCAGTGTTACTTACCCCTTTTCTGCGTGTAATTATTTATTCCCTAGCAATTGTCAAAGTAACTCCTTTTTTATTTATTTTATAATAATTTTTTTTTGTTTGGTTTTTTTTGCAGTCTGTTGTTCAGTTCATCTGGAAACTGGAGTGAAATGCATGCTTTTTTTAATCACACATTTCTGAACATCTGTTAACAGCCTAATATGCAAATGCCGAGACAAATTTTACAACAGAACAAAAGTGCTGGATAAGTGTAAAAATGAAACCCAGAGGGGCTCGTACAAAGCAATTTCCCTCAAATCCAAAATAAATGACTTTTCAAACCACAAACAGTTCTTTAACTGTGGCTAGCAGTAAGTAGACTTCATTTTTATTTTTTGCTCAACTCTAAAGTCACCTGACCTTTCTCTGCAGTTGCTAACAAGCCCCGCCGCCCTGACGTACCAGGTATGTTCAGGTCCTCAAATGACTTTTGTTTTGTTCTGTTCTCCCTTTCTTCCTCTGTGTTTCTCAAGTCTGGCTTATCACTAAAGCTTCATCCAAAATATCTGAACAGCATCCTTCCCCCTTCACTAGGGCTGTCCACTCTAAAGCCCTTTTATGACTTATGAGCAGTTTTAAGACCCATGGAGAGAATGAATGATGCTCCCTCAGACGTGTTGGATGTGGCCGGTGAGAGCTGCTGCAGTGAGTTTCTACAGGAAGACGAGTGACCAGCCACCGTCATTAACACATATGTCCGCTTATTGGCCTGTTCTCGAATGCGACGCTCACCTTCGAGAGGAGCAGAGTTTGTCCCGGCGTCTACATCAGGAGCAGGCTGAGTTAAACGCTCAGAAAGATGGGGACAAACTCTGACGTAGCGAAATGGCGGAATGAAGCTCAAGTGTCTTGTTGTGAGTGACGTGACTTTGACGTTTGCGTGCTGATTTATTACAGTCAGGGATGTAAACGAATTGTTTGAGAATGCCGCCGTCGTTTACTCACCCTCATGTTGTTCGAAACCAATGGCATCTGTCAACATTCTTTTCATGCATCAAGTTTAAATACGTGCATGAGGTGAGCATTTCAGAGAATAACAACTTGTTATTGTATGACCACTCAAGACTTCAATTATACTGCATCTATTATATAGACTAATGTCCTGAGGTTTGTGAGCCTGGGTCCCTTTTGTCAAAAAGAAGTACATTTAGCATACTTATTATGTGAATATTATAGTTTGAGGAATATACTAAATATAAGTGTGCAATGAATGTAATGTTTTCACACTCAACTGCATGTTTACTGCAATTAAAATGCGTGAATATTATTTACATTTATAATAAATTCAATTATGTGAAATTTAGAGTGTTTTTGACCCACTTAAGTAGGACTTAAGTACATCTTTTAATTCCATAATTGCATGTAGTATCTTTGTAATATGGTGTAAATGTAACTTCTGAATGTACTGACTTTAATGTACTTTCAGCTGAATATACTTTAATGTCATTTCACTTGAAACATGTATGTAATGAATTTAAATATATTTGAAGAGTTCAGATGCAAAAGCCTCTAAAGTTTTTTTTTTCTGTTTTTTTGTTTTCCCCTAAATTAGCATTTTTATCAGGCTCCCATGTTTAGGTTTAGTAATTTTACTTTGATGGCAAAAAATGTAGAACATAAATATAGGAGCTTGATAAAAATGCTAATTTTAGATGAAAATTTTAGCCTGCACTTAGAAGCTTTTGCATCTGAACTCTTCATTTGTAATGAAGTTACAATGTAGTGCATTTTAAATATATTAACTGTATATGTTAATGCAATATTGAATAACACACTAGAATTATAATAATAAGTACTTTACACGTGCTCTAGTATGTTTGTCAACACATCAAAATAAGTGTACTTCTTTAAAACATGGCAAATGATGTGAAACAATGATTTAAAATGTACTTTTAAAGTAACATTTTTAATTTGACTTTTACAGAGTGCACTATTTTAAAGGTCACTTTTTAAAAGAGTACTTAAGTGTGTTAAGCGCTCAGTCATAAAAGTCTCTTTTTAAGTCACTTAAGTGACCTTTTATTTCATTCATATTATTTTATCTGCAATCACAGTTGTTTAAAAATACATTTTAAAATTTGATGTGCACTAAAAAGCGAACATAAAATACAATTAAGCACACTTCTTTTTCACAAGGGTCACTCTATTATATGGAAAAGAGCATTTATTTCACACAAATGTAATATCGGTTTCAAACGATCAAACGATTTTCATTTTTGACTGAACTGTTCATTTATGTACAAATGTGAAGGCATGAGAAATTCAGCTGCGATATGTGATGGTTTAATGAAGTTAAAAAGAAGGACTATAAGGGGTCACCTGTTTTGGTAAGGTGGAATCTAAGGATCTAAAGGAAGGAAGTTTTAATGCAATTGAAACTTGAAGTTAAATAGCCATGTATGATCATGTATTTAATGCGTTGAATGATGCTATGATGTTTACATATGCTGTCATTTCAAGCATGTGTATATATGAGGTGGAAATGAGTGTGTGCAACTATATGACGGCATGTGTAGATTGGTCACATGCATATGTCCGTGTGCATTGGCGTGTCTGTATGTTTATGTATGCGGTTGACCCAAGCGACAGCATACATACAGTAATCATACATTTGCACCTGTGTCCATATGTTCAGACTTTGACGAGCCCGATCAGAGCCTGCGTTAGTCAGATCTCTTGTCTATCTTCGGCTCCGATTTCACACAGATTTAGAAGGTGCAGAGGCAGCACTTCTGGCATTTGCTTTGATTTCCTCGTGTCTCGTTTGGCTAAATAGTGTGAGAGGGAGGCGTCTTTGCCTCATTGGGTCGGTGTGTTTTATGGCTGCATTATGGCTGTTTTACTGAATGGCCCAACATGACTATTAAAGGACTGAACGCTCTGCATTGATGTGCTGTTTGTTTAGCTCTGACAGACTCTGATTCAGACTCACATACAGTACAATAAGCTCTTTCTTATTCCTGCAGCTTGCGGCCCAGGTGCTTGATGATCTTGACGATGAGGACATTGGATTCGGTTTGGTGGATTCAAAGAAAGACAGAGCTATTGCTAAGAAGCTGGGTAATACGAATGCATCTAAGATCCATTATCTTCCGTTGTCTGCCTGTAATACAATTATTGCCTTCACTTTCCGATAGCCATCAGTCTGTTGAAGTATACACTGCTGGTGAAGAGCAAATAAAAAAAATGAATGCTCCTAGAGGACGCAGTTCGAAGTTCCCATGAAAGGGAACTGAATTTTTCCCTGTAGCAAAAGGATGAGCTGTTATTGTATTTCGTTACACTGTCTTGTGTTTCATCATAGCCTATACACTGAAAAACATTTGGTGCAAGTTCTTGATCAGTATTTTCTGTTACTAGAACCACATTCTTATCATTAAAGCATTGTCTTCTGATGTTAAGACTAGAGTTAGACTAGAGAGTCCAGGATAATCCTTCTTGGGTAAATCATGTTGTGCAAATGTTGATATAGTATCCAGTCTGTCTTTAATCTGCCAATCCATTCAAACACCTCTGAAACGTTCAGATGCTTGTTTTGGGCAGGTCTGCTGGAGGTGGACAGCATCTACATCTTTGCTGATGACGAGATCATCGAGTACGATGGAGAGCTGGCGGCCGACACGCTGCTGGAGTTCCTCTATGACGTGAGTGTTTATCATCATAACCGATCACGCATCTAAAGGTCATTGATTATTGAGTGACTGGTTCTTCTGTCAGGTGATCGAGGAACCTGTGGAGATCATCAGTAATGACAGAGAGCTCAAAGGCTTTCATCACATCGAGGAGGACATTAAACTGATGGGCTACTTCAAGAGCGCCAAATCTTCACGTTAGTATGCCGATACACCTGAACGTCTTTAATAAACTCTTATTACTCGTATACTTGTAACAAGCAGCTTCCATCATGCCAATGTTGTTATTTTTCAGACTTCACTGAGTACGATGACGCAGCTGAAGAATTTCATCCATTGATCAAGTTCTTTGCCACATTTGAGCCCAGGGTAGATTCATTCATTCATTCATTCATTCTCAAAGGGGCATGTGATTATCGAATCATGATAAAAATAGCCTTATATAAAGCAAGCAAAAATCTAATTAATTTAACTGCAACTTATAACTTTTGCGGTGCTGTCAAACGATTAATCACGATTAATCGCATCCAAAATATTTTTTTTGTTTATATAATATACCTTGTGTGTGTGTGTGTGTGTGTGTGTGTGTGTGTGTGTACTGTGTATTTTTATTATGTATATATAAATACACGAACATACATGTATATATTTAAGAAAAATATGTTTTGTTTATATATAATCAACAGCACTAAAGGCAGACCTGTCATAAGCTCTTATCTTGATATAATCAATGTTTTACGGTATGTGTCAGAGTGCCCACAAGACTATCCAACTCAATACACATACAATTTGTGACTAGGTAGGAAAAAAATAGGTTTAGTGTATGATTTGAAATGACTAGAAGCCTAAATGATCTCTGTATTCATTGTGTCTGGTCTGCGTTATGTCTGAATGTTTCCAGATCGCTAAGAGATTAAACCTGAAGATGAATGAAGTGGATTTTTACGAGCCCTTCATGAACAAATCCGTCAGCATCCCCGGCAAACCCTACATAGAGGACGACATCGTCACCTTCATCGAGGAGCACGACAGGTGAACTCTGATCAGTGCTCAACCAACAGCTGAAGAGAGAGAGAAAGAACAATACCATATAGAATCACAACGTTTCCTCACAAGTCCTCTCAGGTGGATGCTTGAGTGAAATCTGCTTCTTTGTTTTTACTTATTTTAGACCAACTCTGAGAAAACTGGAGCCTCACAGCATGTATGAGGACATTAAGAGCACAACATTTTTTATTTTTTATTTTTTTAAACAAAACTATGTGTAATAGATATTAATACTAATATCTTAAATGTGCATGTTAACTTTGACAGCCCTAAAAGAAATAAAAAACAATAAATAAAAAAATAAATGCATTAATCTTTTTGTCTCTCAAAATCCACCCCAGTTTGAGAGCAACTATTTCCTGGAAAATTCCTATTGAACCTGAACCTGAGCTCATGTTTAACTTACATTGAGGTTAGCAGTGTATTTGTGTGGATTTTATACTGTTTTAACGAGAAAAGGGCAGTTCAGAAACGGTGGCGTCTCATGTCATTTAATTTCTATCATGATCATGACTGTTACTAGCTCTGTGATTGGTGTCTGTTTTAGGAAGATGATATTAACAGACAGCACATCGTGGCCTTCGCTGAGGAGTCTGACCCTGGTAAACACTGATCTGAGTTTGAGAGTCTCTGAGGGATTTCATGTTCGTGACTCCAAATGACTGAATATTGACTTTTACCAGACAGCTATGAAGTCCTGGAGATCCTGAAGGAAGTGGCTCAAGAAAACACAGAGAACCAAGACTTAAGCATCATCTGGATCGATCCTGACGACTTCCCACTGGTACGACAAACCTCTATAATACTGTATCCATTGAACATACCTTTGATTACTCCAAGAACATGCTTTTGAACGATGTGTGTCCTTAAATAAGATGCCTTGGATAAAATGTGTTTATTTATTTTTTCTGTAGGATCTGAATAGAGTTAGATTGCCTGTCATTTTTACATTTGTCATCTATGGTATTATTGATATAGTGAATTCATATGTTCATAATGTCTCAAATCAATTTAATGACATGCACAATGCATTATATCACATACCAAAACACATTGTGTGCTCAGCAGGTGCTTCAACATGAGGATCATGTGTGTTTGACTCTGCTGCGCTCTACTGGAGATAATTGACAACTGAATGAGTTTAATGAGTATGCAGGGAATATCAGCTCTAAAAACCTCCAAGGAATTAAAAAAATTGGATTATGACAATCAAAAAATACTTATTTATCTTTATTGAATTTTGATTGAGCAGCATAATTTCTGAAAAAAATAAAAATATTATGAAAAAAATAAATAAATGAAACGTTGCTGTAGTAAAATTTTAAATAGCTTTTTGCTAATGTGGGCTATTTCCACGTATTTTTTTTATTTTTTTTGGTCACAACTTTTTATAACTTTTTATGCAACATCTCACAATTAAATACTGTATCAGACATCGCTTACACTATGTGAACTGAGGTCTGACCTTTGACCCCTCTGTGTCCCCTCAGATGGTGCCGTACTGGGAGAAGACCTTCGGCATCGACCTCTCGTCTCCTCAGATCGGCGTGGTGGATGTTGTGGATGTGAGCGCATCATTTGTCTCTAATGCCAACGATCACGCAAGTGCAACTCAGAGTCTACGGTTTCGGAGATAAAGGTTACAGTGTCATAGAGGAGCTACTTTTGGTTCCTCTTTCGGTGAACAGTTCTTAAAACAAAATAACTTTGTTATTAAGGTCGAACAGTTGTTGGCAAATCAGTGTCTTAATGAGTGAGTCATAGATTCATTCATTCAGCTGATTCGTCCAAAATGGTGATTAATTTTTCAATTCATTTTTTTCGTTTTTAATTCTAGGACGCTTATTGGCCATCGTGAGACTTTGATCAGTGGTGCCAGTACTTACATAGCTTAAGTTTTATCAACTGATGTCAATTGATTTAAAATAATCATTTAACTATAGATGTTATAAAGTAAATGTCAAGTCATGAAATTCAAGAGCAAGTCACTTAAGAGACTCCAGTCATGTAAATGCAGTCCCCTGCCTCTAGCATCATCATCTACTTTGTAAGCTGGATGGAGATTTTTGATGTTTGTGATTATTCTAAGTGTGTGTGTCCAACATAATCTCATGGCAATTTATAACTATTTTGGCAATTTGGTGGCTATTCCTATGAATTTGTACAATCTTATTCTGTCTCCTTATCTGTCTGGGATTGGTCTTGTGTGTGTAATTCTCAGGCTGACAGTGTGTGGATGGAGATGGATGACGAAGAGAACATGCCAACCGCTGACGAGCTCGACACCTGGATCGAAGACGTGATGTCTGGAATAATCAACCCTGATGACGAAACTGACTACAAACATGATGGTGATGATGATGATGATGATGATGACGATGATGATGAGGATGAGTAAATTCTGAGTGAGAAACATTGTGTCTCGTCTCACTGTTTAACTCTGCACCACTCATTCTTCAGGAAAATCATCACTTCACCGTCATATGCTCATGTTTGTGACATTAAGAACTCATCAGTCCGTCCACGTTCCCGTCATCACAAACTGAGCTGTTCTGTCATTACCGTCTGGAGCACGTGAGAAACATTGTGTCTCGTCTCACTGTTTAACTCTGCACCACTCATTCTTCAGGAAAAGAAATATCGGATTTGAGGATCACTGCAGCTGTTTCTCTGCCAGTGACACGCATCTAGTGAGAACGTGTGCGGTGTTTGATAAACAATAGCAAAGCCTCGTAACAACTATTTTGATATTTTTATTGACTTTTATAGCAGAATAAATTATGCTCACTGGAAGGTCTTCACAGTAAAAGTTTTCCTTGTTTTTTGTTCCAACCTAAAAGAAGAGATGGAAAAACCGTCAACTATTAAGAATCTTCATCTTTGTGTCATATAGGGGTGTCGCGATATACCGGTATTGACGATAACCGTGATATTCAAATCATGAAATATCGACATCGTGTTAATTTAGGGTGTGACAATATACCGGTATTGGTGATAACCATGATATTTAAAATGAACAGGACACTTATGATAACACGACACGCAAATAGCCTACTCCAGCGCCAGTACCTGGTTGACCTCCCAGGTGGTGGTATTGCGCCTTAACACTGACACCTGTCACACAAGAGGACGACGCAGCGCGCGGCCGCACTTCTCCAAGAAGAACCAATAGTATCCATGCTGCGGGTCTGCAGATGAATATATCTCAGAAGAACCATGTTCAATATTATCCAGACAGTAAGTTGCCATTATTTTACTAGTCATTGAATGGGAAATGTTACATTAACCTGTTAACAGCAGTTTCCTGTTTTCATATATTTAGATAAAAGGGTGATTATTTTAATAAATACCGCGTTTTCTTTACTCGTCTAATTTTTGTATTTGTATTTGCAATCAAGTCATGGCCAATACTGCCTTTGTGCAGCAATTGATTTCTTTGTTCAAATCTATTACACGTTTAAAACTGATCTAGGGGTCTGCAGATGAATATATCTCAGAAGAACCATGTTCAATATTATCCAGACAGTAAGTTGCCATTATTTTACTAGTCATTGAATGGGAAATGTTACATTAACCTGTTAACAGCGGTTTCCTGTTTTCATATATTTAAATAAAAGGGTGATTCTTTTAATAAATACCGCGTTTTCTTTACTCGTCTAATTTTTGTATTTGTATTTGCAATCAAGTCTTGGCCAATACTGCCTTTGTGCAGCAATTGATTTCTTTGTTCAAATCTATTACACGTTTAAAACTAATCTAGAAAAACTGAGCGACCACATTAAACTCTGTAAAATGTAAAGTTGGTCGCAGTGCCATGCACTTAATGCCTCATCTGCGGTCGTTCTGGGTGCGCATTAATATTGAATTAGAAGCACGTTAACTGCATGACTTCATTGGCGCCGGCGCAACTATAGGTTAAAGAGATTAAAATACGTGTACGCAAGTTAACAGGTTAAAGTATCAGATTTGATGTTAATATTTATTCATTATACTGTTGAACTTGACAGCATTTTCTCTCTTGTTATTTCATAGGGAGCTTCAGAGAAGACCGAGAAAGCCAGAGTCTCAGGTCAGCTGTGACCTGAAGAAGAAGAAGCAGTGAAAATGCATGTGCCCTGTGTTTATCAGTATCCTTATGCTCATTGGGTAAAAAGAAAAACTAAATAAACAAAGTAAAAATTAATTTGGCTAATTCCCTAAGGTTTCTAATAGATATCGCGATATATCGATATTGTGAATTATTTTGGACACAATAACCGTGGTGTGAAAAATCTAATATCGTGACAGCCCTACCGCTGATCCAAGTAAGGCGGAAGCAATCTGCACTTATCCAGTTCCACGTAATCTTAAAGAAGTCCAGCGCTTCCTAGGATTGGCTGGGTGGTACCATCGATTCGTGCCAGACTTCTCCAGGATCGCTGAGCCTCTCAACACCCTAAAAAAGAAAGGACAATCATTTCAGTGGACGTCACAATGCCAACAAGCTTTTGAGTGTTTAAAAGCATGCCTTACATCACCACCTATCCTTGGACACCCCAATCTCCAACTACCCTTTACAGTGTACACTGACGCAAGCGACACTGGCTTGGGCGCTGTATTAACTCAGCGGAAAGAACAAGGTGGTGAGGAAGTGATCGCCTATGCCAGTAGGACTCTAAATAAAGCTGAGACAAACTATTCTACCACCGAAAAGGGTGTGTGTGTGTGTTTGTGTGTGTGTGTGTGTGTGTGTGTGTGTGTGTGTGTGTGTAGTGTAGTGTAGTGTCTGTGTGTGTTTACTCAAGATTGCATGTGCAGTGTCACTTCCTTGTAAAGGGCAATCACCAGTTTCTCACCACAGAAAGCAAATACTGAAACGCTGCATGATTTATAAGTGCTGAGTTGCACAATATAAACAACTCAATCTAACACGGCAACAATAAGAGCATAATATTAGAAATAACAACTGATACTTATTGTTTCCAAGTCTATACAGTACACATTACTGTTGTTGTGAATTAAATAATTTCTACTGTACTCAGTGAACGTTGAGACTCTGCAGAGCTTTTTAATCATTTCAACAAATTAAATATTGCAAATGTTATTCTTGATTTCATTATCGATTTTCATCTAAACAAAAACTAAACTTACAAATTATTTTAGGTGCATCAGCAATGGAAATAATTTCAAATGGCCATGAAACTCCATGTAAAAAGGATAATTTTATAACATGATTTTTTTTTACTAATTTGGCCTTGACTTTTATTTTTTTATTTAATTATTTGACTGTTATTATTTTAGTGTCAGTCTTTGATCTGGTACACCACTACTGCAAGGTCTAACAATTATGAAAGAGCAAATAAAAAGGTAAATAAAAATATCAATAATTTAAAAATAATCATTGTCCCTTTGTTTTTATTTTATTTATTATTTTTATTTATTTAATTTTTTTTAGCTTTTTAATCTATTGTCTAATCGGAGTCTTGTTTTATGCATATATCAAGCAAAGTTTTGGGTTGTGTTTCTTTTGTTTGAACTCTAAACATTTCAATTTCAGTAAAATATGAATGTGACCTGATGACAGATTTACACAGAATATAATCACCAAGGTAAACTACAATCATGTGATTCCCGTCCCTTCCCTTAGACCAGGGGTCTGCAACCTTCAACATCAAAAGAGCCATTTTGGCCCCTTTCCCACCGAATAAAATTCATGTGGAGCCACAAAACATCTCTAAGTTACGTATGTAACCATGGTTCCCCGAGGAAACGAGACGCTGCATCGAAG